AGAAAGATGTGTGTATGTAAGAGAAAAAAATTTGGAAAATATCTTAGAATAATTATACCTATGTTTAAGCTTTGATAGTCCTTCTTATGTTCTGAAATGACCCAGGCTTTTATTTTCTATCTTTTTCTGCAGCTGGAAATAGTTCTTTAAATAGTTTTATAGTAAAAATGTGTTAACAAACTATTCTCTCTGATTTTTGTCTATCTAGAACAGTCTGTATTTTGCCCTTACTCTTAAGTGATATTTTTTCAAGATATGGAAGTCTAGGTTAACAGCATTCAATTTTAAAAATAATTTAAGATATGTCATTGCCTTGTTTTATGAACTATATGGTTTTTTATATAAACAGCCACTACATATTGGTGATGTATGTGTGTGCTGGGTTTGCTGTATGCATCAAGTGTCATCTTTGTTCATCTTGGGCTGTTCTTGCTGACTTTGACCCTTGGCATGAACTAGTTTAGTAGGCTTTTTGGAACTTCCCATTTGATATCTCTATTAAGTTTTATGAAATGCTTGACCATTATCTTTTCAGATATTCTTTTTTGCTTTACTCTATTTCTTTTCTTTTTCTGGAACTCTAATTTCATTTTTGTTGTATCACACAATTGTCTAGAGATCTCATGTACTTGGTTCCTCTCACCCTTCAGCTTTCTCTCTATATATTTTGGTTTGGATAATTTCTCTTGTCTTGTTTTCAAGTTCACACATCCCCCTTTGTAATGAATCATTTATTTCTGAGATTCTATTTCTTATTTATAGCATTTCCACTTTGTTCTCATTTGTACCTTCCATTTCCTAATGAAATTCTCCATCTTTAAATATATTGTCTGCAGTTTTCTATAGCTTTTGAAAACATGTTTATCATACCTTTAAATTCCCTATACAATAGATGCAAGCTGTATGTCTTCTCTAGATCTTCTTCCATTGCTTTTTCTTTGACCATAGTCATATCTTGCATTGTGTGTGTGTGTGTGTCCTAATTTTTCACTTTGTCCAAGAACATACATGTTAAGCACAAAAGAAATAAATCAACTTTCACCCAGAATAGGGCAAACATCTTTATTCATCAAGCTAGTAGTATGGAAAGATAAATTGATTCACTACGCAGTTGAGCAGGGCCTGAGAGTTGCTGTAACTTTGGCTAGATTGAGTTCTGGTATACTGCTAACTGTTTTTGAGAGTATGATTGAAGCTTTCCCTGAAGCAGCGTTTAGATCTGTGAGGAGATGAAACTTTAGCGATCTCTAAATTTTATGGCTCTCTAAATAAGATAGTCTTTTTTTTTTTTTTTTTTTTTTTTTTTTTTTATAGCCCGCCTGCCTTTCTTAGGGGTCATTTTGAAGAATTCTCTACCTTTTCAGTACTTCTGGCTCTCTTTCCTTTGAGAGGTCTCTTTCCATCATGCTATCCCACTCCCAGCTTTGGAGGAGGGGAGCATCCTGTGTTGGGCAAAACTCTCAGATCTGGAGTATTTTCCCAGATATCCTGCCTGCCTTGTTACATACCTGCCTTGCTATATACTAGATATAATCTTTGGTGTCCAGTTTCTGCTAGCGCGTTCTCCTTGCCGCTCAACACCTTCACCAGGTCACACTGTCTTATATTGAGGGCAATCCCCACATGCCTTGTGATGGGGAGCCTTCTTTGTCCCATTTCTGACCTTTGGTTTACCACTCCCATTGATTTGATGCAGGCCAAGCAGGGAGACCTGAGTCATTCACTGGAAGTGATGGTATGGACTTCTCATTTCCCACATGGCTATGGAGATGAGATGACCTGGTGGTCCTTCTTTACTTTTGTGGAATTTCTCCTTCTACAATTTCAATAAGGATGAGAGTGGCTCCAGATCTTACCCATAAGGACTTGCTCTTTCTCAAATGTAGTTGATTTTGACTTATTGATACCCTCAGCTCTCTATGGACTTAACATTACAATATTATAACTTAGATTTCTTCTAATGTCAAGATGGAATGGCATTCCCTCACAACTCTAACTCCTGGACAATTATACTTATTTTGTTGCTCTGCTGCCTATAAGCCTTCATTGAGGACAATAGGTAGTTTCATATTTGAACAACAAGAGATTATTTGATTCTAACCAATGGCCTCTTTGCTTTTCTGACACCTAAAAGTCCATGCATACTGATGAAGACATCATCCCTCTTAAAATAAAATTTTTTTGCATTTCCAGATCATTGCTTGTAACATTTGGAAAGCAATATTGGGAGATATATTCATTTCAACCATCTGATGTTTGACTCTGTGGCATTTAATACAGCAAGCTTTTCTCTTTGGTTTTAAGCAGTGACTTGAACTAGTTCAGAAGAAGTTCAGTGGAGACCAAAGAATTTCCTTGTTTCTTTCTGCTAGGGCTACACCCACTTTCTGGGGAAAGAAGAACATTCCCATAAATCCAAAGAATGCTCTAGGTCATCTTTTAAAATTATTATTATTATTATTATTATTATTAAGACAGTGTAGTTTTGTGCCTGTCCTGAATCTCGCTCTGTAGACCTGGCTGACCTCAAACTCCCAGAGATCTGCCTTACTCTGCCTCCCGAATGCTGGGATTAAAGGCATGCACCACAGACTCCTGGCCATCTTTTATTATTTCTATAGGTGGTGATAACTGGTCTTAAAGATTCCCACTGTCCACCAACCATTTGCTGTAAGAGCTCCCTTTCCTCTCTCTGTGCTTTGACTTCTTCTGGAGACTTCTTCTGCCTTTGTTTGAATGTAGGACTTCACTTCTCCCCCGTTCTTTGACATCTCATGTTGTCTTTTGCTAGGAATGCTGCAGAACCATCACACAGGGCAGTTTGAGAGACAACTGGCCTCAGAAAATTAGGAAAGAAGAGTCTCTGCAAACTGTCAAAAGTCATACTTACTGCCAAGTGTGCTCCAGACCCTTGAGCTCCATTAGGGAAAAAACACTGAAGGTAGGCATGGTTACAATGGCAGAGATAATGAGATACTTTTCAGAGTGTGGTAATAATAACTTTAATTAATCAAGATGAATGTGTAGCCCTTCACACTTTGGGATGTGACCACTCATCTAAGATGTGCTCAGGAGGAATTATGTCTGGGCACAGGCAGGCTGGCCCTTTGCACTTTGATTGACTATGTATCGAAGTTACCTTCTTTGATTTGTGTTTAGACTGTAATGAAGCAGGCGAAACTTACTCCAGGGCTTATTCCTAGTAGAAGATGGCAACAGTTTCTTCAGTAAGAGACACAAACACCTATGAAAGCCTAGGCAGTCACAGCCAACACACTCCATTGTGAAAGTATGATTGTCCCAGGATAATTAGCATAAACTACTATTGAGATGTTGTTGATAATAGAGCATGAATCCTGACTTCCACATTAATTTGGCACCGGATGTGATAATTGTTGACATTATTACAAGTAGTTTAAGATTTTCCACTCTAAGTTTTCTTATTTTTTTTTTTAAATTTATGTATATGAATGTTTTGACCACATGGATGTATATATACTACATGTATGTCTGATGCCTGGGAATGCCAGAAAAAGCCATTAGATACCCTAGAATTGGAGTTACAGACAGTTGTGAGTTGCCATGTAGTTGCTGGGAATCGAACCTTGGTCTTCTGGAAGGGCAGCCAGTGCTCTTAACTGCTGAGCCATCTCTCCAGCCTCCTAATTTTCCTGAACTTTTAGGGAGTGTTAAAGAAAGCATTACCTATGTTTCTATTATCATAGCTGTATTTTCAGAATTCTATCTGATGCCCCCACACTTCTATACAACCGGCTTCATAGGCTTAATGTAGAACTCTCACTTTTCCCCCTTTCCCCACTCACCTGTTTTTCTCATTAATGCATTCTAAAACCACAAATCTAAGAAGTCTTTGGACTTTTTAAAGAATTTGATTCTCTATATGTAATAAGTAAATCTTGCTGGTTTCACCTGTATCCATTGACGATGTGAATTCATGTGTGTTTTATATACATGCACAAGTTTGTGTTTGTGCTGACCTGCTTTCTATCAGCGTGAGAGATACACAAGGCTGTTAGCTTACAAACAGAAAAGATATCCTTTAGCTGACAGTTTGGGAGGGTCTGGTCCAAGTTCCATTGGTTCTACTGCTTTGGGTTTATGATGAGGCCACACGTAATGACAGTCACGTGGTGGAGCAAAACCTCTTGCTTCAGGTTTGGATGCAAGGCAGAAAGAAGATGGGGCTGAGGTTTCACTGTCCCCTCTGGAGCATGTTTCCAGAGACCTAAGGCCTCCCTCTTGGCCCTTCTTGGAGATTTAATACACTTCCCAATAGCACCATTCTGGGGGGAAAACCTATAAGACATGGATCTTGGGGACAACAAACCAGGTCTGAACTGTAGCAGCACTGTAGGTCCATATGGATATAAATTTTATGTTAGTCTTTCTCTACCAGCCTTACTAGAGTGTGAGTACTATGACAGGAAGAACCTTGAAAGTGTGTGTGTGTGTGTGTGTGTGTGTGTGTGTGTGTGTGTGTGTGTATGTATGCACAAGCACATGTGCACACCTCTACATTTGAGTGTGGAGCTCAGAACTCAGTATCAGATGTCTTCCTCAATTGTTCTTTACCCCTTTTCCATTTATTTTTTATTTAATTTATTTTTATATGTATAAGTATTTTGCCTACATGTATGTCTGTGTACTATGTGTGTACAATGCCAGAGGGCATCAGGTACCCTGGGACTGGTATTACAGATGGTGGTGAGCTGTCATGTGGGTGCTGGCAATCAAACCCATGTTCTCTAGAAGAGGGGCCAATGCTTAACCACTGAACCAGCTCTACAGGCCCTCTACCTTGTTTTTTTTTTTTTTAAATACATCTATCTATCTATCTATCTATCTATCTATCTATCTATCTATCTATCTAGTTATATGCGTAGGTATGTGAGTGGGTATACAAGTGTCATAGCATATGTATACAGGTCAGAGGACAACTTCTGAAAGTCACTTCTCTCCTTCTACCATTTCTGTTTCAGATACCTGTCATTTCATCAGATTTGATGTCAAGTGCCTTTAACTGCGGAGCCATTGGCAATCCTCTCCACCTTAGTTTCTGAGACAGAATCTCTTGCTGAAACTAGGACTCACAAATGGCTGTACTGGCTGGTTAGTAAGCTTCTGGAATCCTCTTCTCTCTGCTTCTGGGAGCTGAGACTTAGGTGAGTACTTCCACACTCACTCTGTTTTTACGTTCATTTTAGGATGTGAACTCAGGTTCTGATGATTGTGTAACAAGCACTCTACTCAGTGAGCAGTCTCCCCAGCTGAAGGTCAAGGTCCTTAACAGTCAATTTTGCATCCCTAAGTGAATAGGATCCAGAATAGCTGAAGACACCTTGAAATTTCTTTGTATCATTGCAGTTGGGAATGAATTTTTTTCCAGACGGGGGTGCCATGTCCTGAGAGACAGGAATGTTTATCTAATTTTATTGTTTATCTAATTTCATCAGTTTAGATGGAATCTGCTTGATGATGGTCAAGGTCATAAATTTAACAGACATTGGATCAAGTTGGCCTACTGATGTCCCTATCTACACAGTGCTTTAATGTTTTAATTACTTGACAACATTAAACAGACAAGTTTTCTGCATCTCCAGAGAGCCTGGGCCATCAGGCTGCACAGAACTTACATTCACATTTAACAGCACATGGATGTTGCTGCCCTAGGGCTGGGTCCCTGCCTTCCAGTTGGCCGAGGAAGGACCTTTCTCAGCTCATTTCACTTCTTTGCCAAGATAACTGCCTGGCTGTTGAGGGCCTCTCAGACCAAGACCCTAGCTAATCTGGCTTTCTAGACTATCATGAACAGTCAAGTTCTTCAGTCCCCAGCAGCCTGAGGTCCATCTCCAGTTCCGCATGGACCCACAAAGATTTGAGGGCTAATACTTGGTTGCCATTTCGGCCTGTGTGTGTAGGGTACAGCTAATATCTTTTGCAAGTTCTGACTATGCCCCAGACGTTTTCAGAGAATCATGTTGGGGAGAAAACACATGGCAGATGTTAACTAACCACAGCCTCTACTCTTACCAAATGACTCAAAATTCTGCTTTATGGCTATTGCTAGGACCCATTGACTAGAAGAACTCATGGTCCAAGCACCATCTGTAGCCAGAAAAATTTCGCCTTCATGTTTCTGGACCAATACATCACTAGCATCAGGCATGTGAGTTTTTGAAATCAACTGTCCACCCTGCTATATACTCTTGTGCTCCAGAAGTTAGGATCTTTCTGGAAAAGGTGCTATCCCATCTGGATCATAACTTGGTGTCACTCATGTCCATGTTCTTGTCCTCTTCAATATATACATGTAGCTGATTTCCCAGAGATTACATATTTCTCAAGGGTGGCAGGAGGTCAGCCTTCTGTGAGAAGTTACCCTGAAAGATGAAGTTGCAAATCAGAATTTCTCTCAATGTTTATACAGCCATAGGGTATCGCTGTGGGGTCCAGGAGATTTCCCTTGGGTTAGAAATGCCTATTCATTTTGTTATGTTAGGGGGTAATTTTTAAGGCACAGAAGGAATGAATATAAATAGACAACCCAAAGCCAACCCATGCACAACATAAAGCTAGGACCCTGACATCAACTTCAGTATTCCATACCATTATCATTTATCCAATTGCTGTTTTAGAGCATTCCAATGATCAATATGTATAGTGCCTGTCTGGGGGGCTCCAGTGGTGAACACGAGGCATTGACCATGGAGACACTACTTTCTATGTCAATGAGTCATTTGCTGTTTTTTTTTTTTTCCAGAAGAAAACCTTTAAGAGGGTTCCATGACATGTCTTTGTTCTTTCCCCCAGTATCCTTAGCCATCGATTACACCCCCCATTTTCCATTTGTAAATTTGTTAGAAACTCAAATAACATGGCACATGACAGTGCCAGCTACAGGGATGGCGTAGCTTGAGTTGGTCTGGGATGTGCTCAGTGTCCAGCTCTTTGGAAAGCAGCGCTGATTAGAAACGTTTGCCCACCTTGGGTCCTGGGTTTCTGCAACACCTGTGTGTGTGTGTGTGTCACCGGCGAGGCTCATCTTTTATGTTGATTTCTATTAGTGAATATATAAATACAGCCTGGGGAATGCTACCTGTCCCTCAGCTCTTGAACCATCAATACAATCCCGAATGGTGAATTCTTTGTAGAAGTCACCTTGGTTCAGTTGGGGAAAAAAAAATTACTGATGTTCTTTGAAAAGGTAGCAAGTTTGAGTTTTTTTTTTTTTTTTTTTTTTTTAATGTAGCTGAATAGGATTTTAAGAAAGCAGAATTATAATGTGGAGTGAAAAGAAAAGCGAGAGGTTGGGTCAGAAACTGGGTTATCAGTACAATGCAGAAAGGCAAAATAAATGCTAATAGGCTGCACATGTGCCCTTCCTGCTAGATTAGAGACCAGGAGGGCGCCCGCTGAATGCGGACCATTGTGTGGCCGCACAGAGCAGAGGGTCTGGGCTATTATCCCCTGCTCAGCCCCTTGTGCCACAGATGGTTCCTCTTGCTTCTCTTATCAGGGCCCTGCATTCAGTCTCTGCAGCTTGATCTCTTCCTCCCTCTTCTGCTCATACAAAACACCGGGATTGATCTGCTGAAAGAGAGGGGCTAGGAGAGGGGCTGTCTCCGAGGAAAAGGGGGAGGTTCTGGAAACAAAAAGAACGGGAGGCCAGGTGCAAGGATGGGGTGGGGCAGGGGATCCAGACGCTCTCTGAGGTGATGGGGACAGCCCCGTCAGCAGCAGCCTGTTCCCTAGGCCTTTGAGCTCAGCCACCTGGAAAATGGCCTTGCCTTTTGTGCTCTGGAGACCCAACGCTCTCAGGTGTTGAACAAGCAGTGCAGGTTCTCCTTACTTCCCTGGGGATCCGTGGCTGCCAGACCAGTCTTGCTGTCTGTCTTCTCCGCTCCTGTCCCTTGAGACGGCTTCTGAGCTGGCTGATGGAAGCTGCAAATTCAGCGTAGATAAGCCAAGGACGGAGGCCTCCGAGAGCAGCTCCTCCTAAGACAGCTGACCTGGAAGAACAGAGAGACCATTCTCAGGGTTGAATCCTGAGCCCAGGCCAGGCTAGATGGGGCATCTTCCTGGTTTGAATCCACGTGTGATGGCAGGACTTAGCCACACTCAGGCTTTGTCATCCACCAATGGTGGAATCTTCAGAAACCTACTGTGCTTTTCTTGTGGTTGCCTTTTCAACTATAAAATGCTACTTAATTCATAGTGTTCTTGGGAGGGTGATAGGAGTTAATTCACACACAAAAAGAAACTTAGGAAAATGAGTGGCTTAGAAATGATACCATAAGAAGTTAGCCATTGCCATCATTATTGTGATTATTCCAAATTTGAACTATTATTATGATTGTCTACTTTAACTACATGTTGTCATCATGGTAACATAACAATCTAGAGGACATGATGATATATTTGAGCTTGGACTTTGGGGTCAAGGCCATCTGAGACTTTGTTCTGACACATTCGTACAACAGACTTGGTTGGATTTGGGCCTATCGCTTACCATTCAAACTTTGGTCTCCCAACTGGGATGCAGGGTTAACAAGAGTGATGCTTGTGGGTGGAGGGATGAGATGATGAATACGAGGTACCAGAGAGTGTGATCACTGGAGAAGCTCAACAATTGAAAATGAAAGCCGTTACTATTTCTACAAGCCTGTGCAGTCAAATATTGTACATGCCGGTGTGCTATTTGGGTCTGGCTGATCAGTTTCTGTTTGCCTGTGTTTTATGTATATGTGTAAGCTGTGTGTGTGTGTGTGTGTGTGTGTGTACACGTTAGAAGGGCCCATGTTGGAACCATCAGTTAATTAGCCAAGTCCTACCTACTCATGGCTCCTGTCTGCCTTTGCTCAAGTTTGCACCTCTCTCAGAAGGAGCTGCCTGGTAGAACTTGAAATTCCATGATCTGCTTCTCAAGGATGAGCCTTGGTCAGGTCTAAGAGACCTGATCACTTCTGGCTTCTCATCAGTGGGAAGTCAGGCTTAGGATACTGTGTTATGTTTCACCTCCTATAAACCAGAGGACCGGACCATGTGAACCCCGGCCCTTCCTGTTTTCTCCGAAGAGCTAGGATGTTCTGCTGCCATTGTTGTCTTTATCATCATCTTTGTGGCTTTGTTGTATTATGCTTTGTTGCATTGCGATCCCCCTTCCTTCTTTCCCCCTCTTCTTCAGTTTTCTGAGGCAGACTTAACTCTGTAGCCCAGGCTGGTCTCAAACTTCCAGGGACTCCTCCCACCTCCATCGCCTGAGTACAGGGACAGTAGCTACAAGCCACCAGGCTCGTTTATCTGGTTTTCCAAGCACCTCTTTTGCTGTGTTTCATCAAGAGAAATTGTGAATGTCAGATGGGGAGAAGAACCAGTTATCTTTATTAGTCGATCTGGTTGAAGGAGAGTATGGTGAGAACCAATATGCTCAGAGACAAAGAAATCCGTGCCCCTGCCCATTGTACAGGTTACGTCCCCCTCCACCCCTTGGGGATTAAAGTGCTCATATACTCCAAGATTCCTCTCCTAGTGGGAAAGCCTGAATTTCCCCAGGTCCCAGATGCTGTCCTCTTAACCAGCTATGGAGCTGTGCCTTGGATGCTGGGCTTGCCGAAGACAGGCTCCATCCCTGGTCATGCACTGTCTCTGCACAACCCTAGGGAGCACTACTCATATCCACAGCCATCCTAAGTTTATCATTATTTATAAGAATTTCCAGCAGATGGCCATAAAGGGTCTTGAGAAAGCAAGGCCTGATTTTTTTTTTCTCCTCTGGTTTACAGGAGGTCACCATGTTGGCCAGCAAAGGCCCTGTGAGACTACATTGTCTTCCATGGTACCCTAAAGATAGGCCTGCTGCCCCCATGCTCTCTGGCCCTTCTTCCACGGCCCCTTTCACAACACCATTTTTCCCTCCTCTTTGCTCTTTCTTAGTTTTATCTCTATGGTTTCCATTTAGAAACTGTGGGGATCTGTTAGGTAAATTTTAATCATCACTGGGTGATGGACACCGAGAAGCTTCGGTGTGCGTTCAGGCTCACCGTCCCCCTGGCTGGCAGGAAGAAATGGGCCTGAGTCACTTCCTTGAGGGTCTCAAGCCTCATGTCCCCCTCCATAGTTCTAAAACTAACAACTCTTCTTGCTATCAACCTCTCAAATATCAAATATTCCAAGCCAGAGGAAACTTGATCCCACCCCCCTTCCAGGATGTATTGCTGTGTTGCTTGCCCTTGACTATTAGAGATACACATAGGTAGGTAGATAGATAGATAGACAGACAGACAGACAGACAGACAGATAGATAGATAGATAGATTATTGTGTATGCAAATCTTAATGCAAGGCCTATGGATCTAGAAGTCTTAGATGAGAATGGGTTATAGCAAGATGAGGCCCTAGGCTGTCTCCATAGGACTTAGCTTATTCACTTAGACTCTGACCCAGGAGGTTCTAAGAAATGAAGTTATGAAACCCATAGGCAAGGAATGCTGTTAAAATCAGTACCATGAATGAGTGTGTATGCAGCTCTTGGTCTGCTGTGCCCTGGTTCATAGTTCTTTTAATATTTCCTTTTGGAAAAACTTCAGTTAGGAGCTATTGAATTGAAATCTGAGTATTGATTTAGCCATTTCCTCCTCTGGCTACCTTTGGCATCATAGTTTTACATTTTGAATCTTCCAGTTTCTTAGAGTTTTCATTATCTGCAAAACTGGGAATATAATATTTAGCTTGCCTAAAGAACTGAGGTTTTTATTTATTTATTTATTTATTTATTTATTTATTTATTTATTTATTTTTTAGAACAAGTAGGCAGAAATTGCAAGAGAATTTGGGGGATTGGGTGAAAAATGTCACAATTGTGTCAGAAATTCCTAACCCATTCCCTTACTTACTGTGCTTATGTGGCAATATAATTTTGAGGCCCAACAGTCTTAGACTGACTGTCTTCACCAAGAATAAGCAATCATATTTATATTTGATCATTTACACCTTTATCTCTCCAACATTTGGTAATAATCTGTGAAACACAGAGCTTGTCATAAAGACATGTGGTATGCTCACACACACAGGGAGTGCCTATTGTAGCCTTTGATTCCTCCAATTGTCTTGGACCAATGTAAAGATAAACCCAAAATAATTGTAAAGATAAACCCCAAATGAGGTGCAACTCTCTATTTTTCACATGGTACCACTGATCTCAGATTCTCCCTCAGGTAATAAATGTGCCCATCTCTCTACTGTATGTTTTATATACTTCCCAGTTCATTTTCACAGGCCAAGTCTCTGATTGAGAGATAAAATTTATACACTGAAGCCCATGATTTTCCTTCTAAGCTTTTCTCTTCAATTAGTTTACCAAGCCATGAATCTGGAGATGATCCCTTTCCTATATCCAGAGCCTGACCCTAATGAGGCCAGACACCTCATTCATGGTACTTGGCTCTGCTGGGGGATTCCTTTGAAGGATAGAGATATTTGCCTAGAGGAACCAGGAGGTTCTACCCATCAAATCATGGTATCACTGTGGGGCAGGCCATGAATGCACCTGAATTACTTTTATCTTTGATTTTTCTACAGGATCACATGCCAAAGCAAAACATATTCTGAGAGGAAAAGAAAATTCCCCAGCATTTTGAACACATTGATACATAGGTAAAACAAATCAGTCTCAATATTCTCTACACTTTCAACACTTTATTTCTGAATAATAATAAAAAGTCCCTGAAGCAAATACTATTTTGAGACTAATTTCTGGAGATTCCTAGCAGGCAAATCACTCCCTTTTCCTCACCCTGATGTTCTTTTTGTTCTGAAAAAGAAATGATTTAGGGGAGGATGATGGCTTTTATTCTTCAAACATTGAGAAGATGTCTTCAGGAGGAAATTCCTGGATCCTTTGGTAGCTCCAGGGGATGGAGCAGCGAGCAACAGGTAAGAAGGATGACAGAGATGTAGGTGGGTTGGAAAACAGAATATTCCAGTTCAGCAGCTCCTAGCCAGGCTGTACAGTAGAAGCCCCTGGGAACACTTTACACATTTCAATTCCCACACCTCTTGGATTTAGCTTGTTTACTGTAGGGCCTGGGGGCCTGTGGTTATGTAGAGCCCATTCTTAGACCTTGGGAATCAGAATGGGCATAGAAGAAATATGAGAAACTATTTAAAAACTGGCCCCAGTGATTCTGGGGCAGCCTGGTATCAGCACACAGAGGCATATTCCAAAGATATCTCTGTATTTCCAGTTACTCTGTAAAGGCTTTTTTTTTGGAGTGACGTGTTCCATCATATACTAGAGGACTCTAGTAGGCACTCCTATGTATAAAGCTTGAGGATGGATCTCCACCTCACTCAAGGGTGGAACTGAATGTGGGATTTCAGAGACCTCATCTGACTTTGCATTGACACCGGCAGGCATCCTTCTTATTCCCAGAACTCTGATGCAAGGCCATGTTCAAGTTCACGGGCAAGGCAAATGGAAGACACAATTTGTTGGAAAGGAAGAAGCCATAGTAGAGAAGGTGGTGGTGGTCTTTAGCCCACAACAACTTTCACTTTTTCTGGTCTGTCCATCCTGGACGTTAACTCTGGTTTTACTACACTAGCAATTTTGTTTTATGTGGTCTTTCTTCATGATTCAAGTACAGTGTGCTTCATCTCTGGGTTTGCATTTAATACCCCTGGAGAGTCACCTCCTGTTCCAACTCTCCTGAAACCACTTTTATCATCTGTGTCAAACATGTATCCCTGTAGAAGAATGAGCCAAAGGACAGTCAACAATTCCCCTTGTTCACTCAAAGCCTAAGAATGGCACTAGCCTTATGAGATGGGACTAGGTTCTAGCTGGGGCCTTTGGATGTAGGTTAGAGTGGGAAATCCCTGGGTATCTGGAGGTCATCACACCTAATATACTTAGCAGTGTTGACTGTTTATGGCTGATAATGAAGTACCTACATCTTTACCTATTGCAGACAAGCAATGAAGCCTCACCAGTACCAGGTGGCAGGCAGCTTACTTCATTAAACTTCAGGAGTGGGAAATGTTTTAAAAACAAATAGCAGGGCTGAGGAAAGATTGCAAGTTCAAGTTCATCCTGGGCCATGGTAGTCAGCCTGAGGCTGCAGTGGGGAACTTAGTGAGACCTTGTTTCAAAATTTTATATATATAAACACACACACACACACACACACACACACACACACATATATATATAACACACATATATATAACACATATATATCAATATATATATATCAATTTATCAATATCTATCTATCTCTCTATATCTATCTATCTATCTATCTATCTATCTATCTATCTATCTATCTATCTATCTATCTATCTATCTATCTATCTATCTATATCAGTCTTTAAATCCCAAGTTCTATATTTGGGCCAAAGTTACATTTTTCTTTAACCACAGGTCAACCAAAGTTTCAATTATCAAATTTTTATCTTTAATATTGGGATAACAGTATATAATAAGGATGTTGAAAGAGGTGACATTGTATTCACTCTTCCCTAAGTGATAAAAGTCACAGGGCTGTCAGTTGTTGTTACCTACATCTCCAGTCCTGGAAGAATCCCAGAAACCCAGCATCTGCATCAAAGAAATTCATAACATGTTTTGGATCTTCAGTTTCTGATACAAATTAGCCTAAATTGTTATTTGGGCCGTGGCAAAGGGATGCCTTGCATTCAGGGAATGGGCAAAGGATGGAGTGGCTGAGGGTAGGAACAGGGAGATCATTGGAAGGAATTCTCTGGGAAGATGTGGAAGAGTGGAGAGCATCTCTTATAGGAGAGACGGCGGATATTTGGTTCAGATTGAGGAAATAACCTAAGCATGGATCAGGTTTGTATAATGAGAAGATGGGCCTAGGTTAGCAATCTGGGGGACTCTGGCCTGGGAATGATCATTGTGTACTTGTGTTTTCACATCAAATAAGATGAGAGGACTAGAGTGAGGAGGGGGTCTTAGAGGATTTTGACAACGAGAGGTGTTGACTGTAACAAAATGGGGTTTGACACTGACCCATATAAGACTGCTTTTGTATCCCAAACCCCAGCTGCCTATGAATAGGGTGGAGGAGACAGCGCCAAGCAGAGGTATGCACTGAAAAAAATCTAGTACTATACCCCAAATGATGATGTCACCTAAAAATATGATTTACCCTCAGAAGTCATCATCTGTATGATTCTTGTTAAAAAAAAAATCTTCCTACAGGATTTTAAGATGTAGTCATGGTAGAAAACCATGGTTATATAATCCAAGTGATCATCCCAGTAGTGCTTGCTTACAAATGATTAAAACTGTCAACTCTCTAGTCACTAATGTATCACTGTACAGATGAAAGGATGACTGCCCATCTGAGTCCCTACTAGATAGCTGTACAGGCTGCATCCTGATGGGAACCATCTTATCAGAGAGAGCAGTGGACTGCCTATCATCTGTGGAGACTGTGTGCCCAAAGCCCCACGTGTAATGGCAGAATCGTCCATTTCTTCCTTTAACGAGGACAAGTCTCTTTGTCTTGTGTATTTGAGACGGTTACCGGACGGACAGGCCTTCGTGATTGTTACATTCTTCTGAAAAAAAAAAAATGGACCCTTTCATGAAACCAATTCTCTTTGTGAATTTAAAATCCGTGTTTTAAAATCAACACCTGCTCTTGATCTATACACTCCAGTCCTTGTATGCTCAGTGAGAAATACTTGGTCAGCCATTTATTTTCAGTCCGTCTGTCCCTTTACCTTTAAAACTGATTTCTTCCATATACTTACATATAGTAAATGGTTGCGTTTTGCTTTTTTAGCCATTCTTACCAGTTTGCTGTTTAGCTGAATGTGATATCTACCTGTGACATTTTACTATTTTCTGTGTTTGTCTGTCTGATTAGTTCTTGGCTCATCTGTTTTTTTTTTTCCTCTGAATTATTTTGAATTACTATCTTACAGAAGTCATTTTGAGTTGATTTCCTTGGACTTTAGCTCCCCTCTTCATATAATTTTCTTTTCTGGTGTTGGTTCTTTAGTATAGATAATTTTGTCTTTTAGGGGAACTTGGAAATGATTTGGTTGTCACAATGGACAGTACTATTGGCGTCTAGCGGGAAGAGGCCAGAGACTGGTACAATATCCTTCTCCTATCTAAAGATCAGTAGCAGTGAGGTTGAGAAATATTGTTCCACAAATTGCAACACATATCTTTAATTTTCATAAATTACTTAAGAGTTACTATTTATTTCATGAAAATAGCCTTGAAATTGTAGAGGTATGCATACTCCTGCAATTCTTTATGCTATGCACACTTAATAATTTTTGCATTACATAATTATATGTATTTTGAAGAAATCAAAGAGGGGCTGTTGTGTATATCACCATATTGACAATTCCCAGCATTCTCTATTAATTAAAGATCCAAATTTTTGTCTGGTGTCCCTTCTGGAGTTGAAGGACACTATAATAATTTCTTTGGTGAATTTCTTTTATTCTGGTTATATGTTGTCTTGTTTTTGTTTGTCTAACAATGTTTATTTTGATCAAAATACACCATATGAGATTCTCAAAGAATCAACACAAATATATTTTCAAATATTTATCTGGTTTCTACTCTTGAATGATATTTTTGCTTGCTATAGAATTCTGTATTGGGTATGTAAAATGAATAGAAAACCTCTTACTAAAAAAAAATTCTGTATTGGAAGGTTTTTCTTTCAGCATTTTGAGGGTGCCACAATGGCTTGTATGAAATGCTAGCATCCATCAAATACTCCTCTGTGTGTGATGTATCATGTCTTTTGGCTACTCGGAGTGTTTTCTCTTTTCCTTTGGTTCTCACAAACATAACTATGAAGTACTTGCTCAATTTTCATGATATTTATTCTGTTTGTGGTTTGTTGAACTTTATCCCTTGACCCTAGCTTCACTGATGTTAAAAAAAACCCTCTGCATATTTAATATTTATAATTTAGTGAGATTGAATGTTTATACACTCCCATGAGCCCACACTGTAACCATATATCAACACACCCACCTCCTTCACAGGTTTCCTTGGTCCTTCTCTTCCTTGTCTGTGGGAAGACATTGCCTCTAATTATTCCACACTGTATAGCAGACCTCTGAAACACATTCATCCTATATAGGTGGAACTTCATAGCTACTGGACATCACATTTCTTCTCCCTCTAATACCTGATCATCATTATTCTATTTTCTAGAAGAGCCATCTATAGATCTGTTTTCAATAATTCATGAGTGGAATCACGTAATATTTTCCCTCCTGTAACCAACTTATGATGTCCTCTTGGTCTTTCCATGGTATTGCAAATAATACAGCTTTTTTCCCCTTTTAAAAGGCTAGATAATACTCCATTGTGTTTATGCCACACTTCACATCCTCCGTCCATAATCATTTGGGCTATTTCTGGATAGGGATGATTGTGACTACTGCAGTGAATACAGAAGTGGGCACTTCACATCACTCCCAACAGTGGACCAGTGTTCTAATTTCTGCGCAAATGTGGTGGTACTTGTCTTTTTAATTAAATAGCTATCCTAAGAGGTATTCAGTGATATCTCACCGTGGTCTGGGATTGTGTTCCCATTTTGGTTGGTGGGGCTTAGTGAGTATCTTCTTTCCCTGTATCCGTCAAGCAAACTCTATGACGTTTTTTTTTAGA